GGGTAACGGTATTTAGGTATTGAATTTTATGTTTGTTGAAGTTAGAGATTAGTTAGGTTTACAGTGAATGGGCGATGGAGTGAATGCTAGGCGTTCAGTGAGTTCAAGCGAAGTGGAATCGTTCTATAGGTAGTGTTTTTGGTGTACGGTGATCGTCGGGTATTGTATAGGTATGCGTTAGTCACTAGAGCATCATTTTTTGAGTATAAGGTTTTGGTTTTAGTCGAATTTAGCGGTAGTTCCTTGATAAGAGTAGTGGTTGTAGTGTGGTTTTCGTTCATTTCGTGGTTCTTTATTTGTTTTCTCTCATGATGGCATAAGTTTTGCATAGACCATGGATTCGCAGGCGGGAAAAGTCAACGATATTGTATAGGGTGCAATCGAGACCATACTTCCTCTGTCTTGTGCTGGTTATGAATGAAAGTAATTTCATGTACGAAGCCTACGTTTCTTTGTATGTTTCTGTGAGTTCTTCTGGAATAGTGAGTGTCAGATGGTTGATATTTGAGGACACCTAAAGAGAATTCTGACGCTGTTCATATTTTGATTAGAGTCTTCGAAACATGCTACCGCGACATCGTTCTCATAGACGTATCATAGGTATTATTGGAGAATAGCCAGTAGAACAAGCACAGAATAGGCAGCGATGTCATTACAAATGGCTGGGATTGTAAGAACGACCTATGTGCTGGTTCTATGTCTGGGTAATTGGATGTGGTTGCACAGTGTGAAACCATGCGTGAACTAAGCAACCGTGAGTTGATCATTACACTGCACTTGTTATATGCACTTCATTATCGATTTCAATGTGCATCATCGATTCCTTTTACAAACGAATTGAGCAACGAGCATCTGATCTGTGTTGCTGTGTCACCGAGAGTGTTGGTCACTCGCATATACTAAACACAATACCCTCCCGTCGAATAAGTTTGAGAGCTGTTGACTTCGAATCCTGTATGCTTATCAAATGATCAAGTGTTCTTACTGGTGGCACACTGTGAAGTCGATGATGATTAATTCGATCATGCAGTCTTCTGTGTTAGCTTCTATTCAGAAACATTGCCCTATGAGAAGCAAACATACAAGCGTATGTTAGCCTTGTGTGTTGAACTTTGTTTCTCCCACTTAGTAGAAGAACTTTATCGGCAGAAATGATTGCTAATTTTATTTGCGCTCGTGCTACCACACATCGACATTATAAACATTGGTCACCAGGAAGGAAATCAGATAGCACTCTCATCGCAGGATGGATATGAGATCAACATCAGATATCGACGATCTCTTTCATCTCACTAACATATCACTATTTTTACCTTTTTCAAAGTACAAAAAGTGCAATAATTCACAAAGCAGAGATGAATGGGGTGATAGTGATGGTGCAGAGCAGCCCGATAGATCTAACTCATGTCTTTACCGTATTGAGACGCTGCTCAATGCCTAGCACGATCGTCTTGACGAAAGGTGTTCTGTATCTACGAAGAGTCGAACATCACTGTACACGAAGTGAAGTGATTCATGCAATTACTATGAAAGATCATTTCCTACTTTCAACCGGTGCACTTGGAAGGATCATGTTCCATTGCTGTGAGAAACGCCATTATATCCTAATCGTCAAAGCACAACGGTAACTCAATAACGCCAATAGATACATATGACCAAGGCACAAGTCAAAAGGGAATAATTCACTGAATGAAATGATCTAGTTATGTCCTGATTTCAAACACTTCTCGCACGGTCTTCAGCCTACAGCAATAGTGGATACCGTGATAGACGTGTCGACAAAGAATCACTTCTAGCTTCACGCTATGATTTCCGACACTGAAAAGCACTTGAAAATCAAAACATGCTTATGACACCAATACCAACGAGAATCTCGAGAACATCGACACTGGACCACATCGTATCCGAACAACATTACAGCCGTCAGATCAGGCTTTCGCACGAAGCAACAATGAACACGAACAATTGTTAAACTCAGACTCTTCACAAACATCATGTAGAGAATAATCATCGAATAAATTCGAATGAATGGAAGATCGTTGCGAAAGATCTCAATAGATTCGGGCTATTACTCCGAGAATCGTTACATTTACAAAAGTGAAAAGCAACCCTGAACCATACACTGAGCTCTATTCTACTATCTAGCTTCCCTGAAAAATTCTCCAGACCTCACGTCGACACTCTTTAAAATAAATAAGATAGAATAAACTTAGCTGCTGTCATCTTTTCCTTTCTACTACTTCTTTGAAAAAGAAAGTTGTCAATATCTAGATTTGAAACATAGTAGTTATACGAAATCGACACATCTGCTAAAACGAGAAGCTGATCATCAGTAAAGCTTTGTCGATGTTCGTGCCAAAAATCATGATCAGTACGACAAAAGTCAGATAGACACTATTTAATCGCTGTCTATAGCAAAAACACACAACGTCTGACAGATTTAAGAACAGATTAGAAATCTACTTGTATCATGTTGGGATCGTGACAATGTCTACATAATAATATCAAGATTTTCGGTATGTGATCCGGAATATGATATAAACTACCAAGAATAATGGTACAGAATCCGAGAACACCTAAAGGTGACTTTTGAAAACTGTTCGTTCTCGGAGATAGAGGCTCACCAACATGACGACTATTCAGCTCTTTCGACGAATTCACATGCTTGCCATAGTTTGTTTCGCTCATTGCACGGAATTATTCCTTTTCATATGAAACAAAACTCAAAGTCTTCTAACGAAATAACACTCACCAAACGTTCAGTGGTGACACGGATGTAACCATATTCAAAAACACCTGATAAAGTTCTCGATACAAAAATACCAACTTTTAGTTGTTCATTAATTGATTGACACTTGGATGACGTGTTGATTTTCTCTCGAATCGAGTGACATCGTAGGAGACCGATAGTGCCAATAAAATAGGAATAAGTTGTCGCACAACAGAGGGCGATCGATCGAGGAGACGTTTGGTTCGTTCGTAAATTTCGCATGAGATTGAAGGAACGCGCCACGCAAACTCTTGTGAATTCGGAAGCAATGACCAACGAGACGTTTCCGCCAATGTATTAAATGGCGTTTTTGTTTTCATAAGTGGATGTAAAAATTGAATCAACCGACACATTCGTCGAGGATCTTGATTTCCCTATGTTGAACAGGTAACAACAAAATGGAGAAAAACATGCAGAGACGAAGAAGAAGACAACTCACGATACTATTTTTCAAGCAACGATGCCAAAAGTGACGTGATTCAGAGATGAGATTTGTAAAAACTTCAATGAGAAAAGGTGTTAACTGCTGCCGAAGCTCATCAATCATTTCTAATATGCAATTCCCGCTGCCACAGAGTGGTTACCTTCTAATTTTCCATTTGATTTGTCACGAACGAGTCGGTACAATTCTTTCATAAAGTTCTCCACAGATGTTAAGGCAAAGTGACGAAGAAGGCTCTCAAAGCACAAACGCGAATTTCATCGATTAACTAATTCTTCCGTTTACTTTAAACAGTGTATATAATATTTGGTTCAAATCTTCTTCTTCATCAAGCACCATCATTTGGGTCATTCGATTGAGAAAATGTTTATTCCTACAACTGATATGTATCACTGCGACTTGTTCCGGCATATCGTTATCTGTATAACGCTCTCGTTTATTGACTGGATATCGGATTATTTTTTACCGACTGTAATAATCATGAATGGTCTGATCTAGAAAACATGTTGCCTTCCATTCTATCCGCGTCGCTGGTGGCTTTTGAAACTGACATAGGATGATTTAACTCATTCCAGCACGCTACAAACATAATCACAAAATGCGTTACTCTTCTTCATCTAATGAACCTTTCGTAATTGTGTATTTCCGTGAGCGCGAAAATCAGGAAACTTGTCAATAGATGATACTGAAACATTGATTTGTTTTTGAAGAATAAAGATAATAAAAGACATTTCCATTCGTTGTTGTTTCTCTGTTGATTCTGTTTTGCATACTACAAGTAATTTGTTCATCAATCTCAGATATGAATCAACGTCGTTCTGATGACTTCCTCCAGATGATATCGTATGCCACAAATCAACTGTGGCATGTTTAGATATTTTCAATAATCAATTCACTGACAAGTTGTTTGCACAATTCGCTAATTATATTCTTTGTATGTGCCATACGAATGATTTGTTTCTTCGGAGAATGTACAAGCAACCTTTGATTGAATCATGCTCGACGTCCTCATGTGTATCGAATAAGTTCACAATGTGATCGACGAGAATTTCATAGGAAAATGGACAATAATTTAATATGGAAAAGAGATCCCATTGCGCTTTCCCGCCGATTTCACTGTGAGGATGCATCGATAAGTCGAAGAGTTTTAAAAGAATTTCTTCATCAATATTTGTCATCGCTCGAAAGTCACTCAATTCAATTTCTGGAAGTTGTATTACGATTGGTTGGATGAACAAGCAACGAAGATGACGTCCTTCGCCACATACGAAATTTATTCCTCAATGAAGATATCTCATCGAATACATCTTGGTCAATCGATATCATTGGAAAAAAACTATAATTAAAACAATCTCTGATTAGGCAACTCAACGCTTATGAGTATTCACTCTATCCAATATTTTCCCTATATCAATGAGTAGGCGCCTTCGAAGGTTTTCTCTCAATCCGATTGGCTAGACAACTCGAATTGTATAGGTACTGCGTATTCGTGAAACAATGCGAAAGTATCCAACAGCAACGGACTGCCTAAGAATAACGGAATTCAATTGTTGATGATTTGATATTTTGAGATTCTTTTCATTGAGTACATCTAATTCTGGAAAAAGGCATATTTGGACGAATTTGGGTCAATCATTCCAATAAATATCTCGCAGCGTGAGCCATGAATTTGTAGGACTTTTTGTTGGAAATTGAGATGCGTTCATGAAATATCGACATGATGACTGGCCGATACGATAACGACGTATCATCACGACCATGTACGAGTTCCACAAAACGATTTCAATCTCAGTTTAACTTTAAGTCTTCGTCGTCATCAATGGAAGTTCCAATGGATTTCGGAATAGATTCACATGATGTCGGCATGAAATATGCTACTGTTTCTTCTGGTTGGCCTCTAATCAAACCTCGAACTAAACTATAAGCAATCAGTCCTACTTTTGGCGATAGGTACGATCCAACTGCCAGTGTCATGATTGTCTCTCGAACTTTCTAAACGCTCATTCTATGTAGTGTACACCGTTATATGATTCAACGGCATCGGATCCATCACTTTCTAAGATCTTCATCAGATGACATACTCGATGAAATTATCAAATTTTGATGTCGATAAACAGGCTTGTTTTTCAAATTCTGTCAAATCATTTCGAATAACGATCGCAGACGAACAATCAACACCTGGTAAGATGGACATCACTAGCGATATGACATACACTTGTCCTTCAACGTAAGTTGATGTTCGTTGAACGATCTGTCGAGAGATGTGTGCTAAACACTTGATAATTGATGTAAAACGATGCGGTTCCATCACACTATCAATCGATGAGTTCTAGTGGAAACGAAACGGAAGAGACGGAATTTTTCGTTCTCTAGACAGTATTCGAAATATTTCGACGTTCAGCGATTCTTCTGAAATTTTCCCGTATTCGATGAATGATAAAAACTTCGAACACTGGCGAGCAAATCTCACAAATAATGAAGACATGCACTACCATGGCCAAGCATAGCAACGATTCATGTAACTGAATCTGACTCCATATAAGAATATTTTTTGCGGCAATCTTTGCGGTTTTCCATATGACAGCGAAAAACCTCTCACTAAACGAGTACAGATTTATATTCAAAGTAGAACAGATATTTTCAACATCGTTGTCATAACTGTTCGACTTACTTTTGATAATCAGATTTCCCAATCGACTGTCACGAATAGAATAATTAAGTGCTGAAGAAGAGACTATCGATACTGGAAGAAAAGTTTACCAACTCCCAGCCTGCCAAGTTCGGAATGCTTTCCTACATGGGAAAGAATTCCGCTGGCCACAATCTCCAATGAAATGGATAATTATTCCAGACACAAAATGCGTATGCAAACTTGAATCCTTGACGATGTAGGTCAGATGGAAGATTCGTGGGGAGAAAAATTTGAAACATTTTGATTGTGTCACCGAACTTCGAATCGGGTGGATAGATCTGTGGGCGTAATATCTCAAGAATTTCCTTGACAGTAGTTGCAGCAAAGTATGGAGAGCAACGTTGAACGCAAAGTAAAAGTGATATATCCATACCTCTGCAATCAGTACAGAATCATTCGAATTTAAGAAAAGAAGTCGTACGAACTGTGGTAGAATGACCGATGTACACGTTTTGTTTTTATTTTTCAAAATGAATTCAGACCAGTAAAATAATCTTCGTCAATCAATAATTAGATCATCTCGTGTAATCAGCGGTTGTTTCCCACAAAACATAGATACCAGACCTTTTAGAGGTCATGAATGAATGACGAACCGTGAAAGTTCGTAGAGGACATCAAAACATGTCTGAATATGTCGGTAGTTTAGATCGGTAATGGAAAGAATTTCTGAATAGACGCTAATAAGTTTTAGATGATTAGTTTTCGTAAAAATTGAATCCATAGAGTGAGATAGAGTGTTTCCATTTCTCGGACCAATGTGAAAAATCAGATTGGATTGCACCTAGTTGAATTGTTCGCGATAAATTTTGGAAAATATCCTGAAATGTCCGATAACTTTGCTGTTGAGTCGCTAGGTAGAAGGATGAATATCTACTGTAAACGTTTGGTTTTTTGTAAATCACTTTCGACCATATTTCGCCGGTATATAGATTTTAAGCGCTAACTGTCCTACATATTTTTGTTCTGTTTACTTTTTTTACCTTTTCAAAATCAAAGTCGACAGCAGAAATTCATTTGTAAATATTGACACTGATTTGTTTCGTCTTGTTGTTCGGGTCAATACGTGTAGATGTTTTTCTCGAACATGAGAACCTCAACCTTTTTGAAGTGGTTTTGGTGCTGATGTAAAACGTCGTTACCGGTAACAGATCCAACGTTTATTCAGTTTTGTTTCCAGTTTCGGCAATAGTAGTCCGCAACAAGAACCACTATCTGAATCGGTAGGTGGCAGCGACAGTTGATTATTGGTCTAGAAGAGCAAATGAATAAGGCCGCTAGAAGATGAAAATAATTATACACACATTTCGTATGATCTGAAAAATTGCTTTCCCTGATTCGCTGAAGATTAACAATTTGAGAGAAATCATGTGAAAGAGTGCGTTTTCATGTTTTATGCCCTTCCGCGTTTGACTCGCTTTGAACAGATCGGCTAGAAGGACTTTTCTTTATCTACTTGGACAAGTACGCGACGGATCAGCTTGTGTATTGTTATTTGTTGAACTTATACTCTCCAAATTCCAGCTGCTAAGCCTTTATCACTGATAATAAGCAAACGATCAACAGGAGTTCACATCATACGGTTCATCTATATTATATCCTACATCATTTCGAGGGATTTTTCATCGTCATACGATTGCCTGTATGTTGTTTGGGATTTTCGATGAAAATCTAATCAGTAATGTACCTTACGCGCAGAATTATTATTTAATTCCTTATTGTATAATTCCTTCTGTCGAATTCAAGCAACAACTTATCAAAGGTCAAGATTCACTGAAATGGTCTTTGCCAATCCATACTGCTGAAGACTATGAAGTGAAGAACAGATGTTTTCTTCACAATTGTTTATCTTCATGGTTTGGCTCACGATGTCAATAGACACAGTTCCACTAGGTTTATCAATCGAATTTAGGCAGATTGTAAATCAAACAATAGTTCAACGGTCGCAATCCTCAAAGAGCACATGTGTACGCTATCGTTTTGTTGACAACTGTATTAGTCAGTCATGGCTAACTTGTCTCTATTGAGTTGGCGTTATGGTGAAGACGAACGGCAGTGTGAAGAACTTGAGCTGAATGAATAACATGAAGATAGATATCGTTGTCCTACCGGTCAATGCATTCCCAAAGTAGTTGCATGAGAAAGTCTCAGTAATGTTGACTGTTTAGACGGAAGAGATCAACGTGATATTCATGTTTATGCCTTTGCTGGTCATCCGTTTACGTATAACGACAGCTGCATAAATTTTCCAATATTTCGATGCGAAGAACGAGCTGCCCGATATCCTCATCAGTATCCATGTGATGATGGTCAATACACGCATGAATTCTACATGTAACTGACAGACACATTATGTGAGAACAATCGTGATGGCCACATGCTAGGTCAATTGTTTACATCGTTAGATCACAGTCGAAAGGCTAATTGTTGATAAGCATTCTATTTTTCGCTATGTCTTCGTTTGGAACAATGTGACTAGCTCACAGATAAATGCTCATCGGAGAATGATTAGTTTCGCCGGAAAACGCACCTATGCTTGGATATTCTCAACTAATTCATTTTACTAATCGTTCAGTTCACGAATTCAAAGGTAAGGTTCAACCTCACCTCTTCTGTTTCGACATTCAAGAATAGCCCGCTTTGAAAGATCAAGTTATCGATATCAGAAATATTGATACACTCACCTGCACTCCAACATCAAATCTAACAGCGCTTCGTCATACACATCATTTGGACGGACAACTCTCGAGTTTCACCTTTATTTTGAAACAACGTTTAACCACCGATACTAAACAGGTTTGTAATAATTCATTGGAATTTCATTGTCAACAATTATGAAAATGCATTTCATTACATTACATTGCGTACATGATAGTCATAAGGATTGTTTTTTCGGAGAAGATGAACCGTATTCTCCTTGTGTTTTCAATCATTCTCGTCGATACCATTTTACGTGGGAGTCGGACAGATGTTTGTCATCTCTCGCGATTGCAGAAGTGAATTCGAAGACGATGCTTTCTGGAAAGAAGATTTTAATAAGAAAATGCAAGATTCGGAGTTCTGTCGTAACAAAGCGGGACAAAGGTTACGTGAATATTCTTATGAAGATCATTTTTAATGTAGCTCATGCCCGTGTGATAGTCCATATGTTCATTGCGATAAGATTTGGGGATTGTCCGAATGATATTGATGAATTGAATTGTTCATCAAACGAACATGGACGTTTTGCTCACGGTCTAGACTCAACTGATCATTTACCTGCAAAGTAGCTAGTCGATGAAATCTATGATTATTGTGACAGACACGGCGCTCGGTCGAAGGTGAACAAAATGTGTATGTGCGCGAATCACGAATACCTGTGCTTAGGGGCTCACATTCAGTCAGATTATTCCGTACACAGGAGACACTTTGTCATTTAGATATCGGCGAAGTTATTAGCCGGAGAAAGCCAGTTTTGCCTGTATTTAAACTCGGTAATTTTCATCGTGTGAAAGCATCATCTCCTATCAAACATAAACAGGCAAGTGGAAAAGAGCAGACTGTCTATTATCCTATAACTGTATCTGAACATTGGTTTGCAATCGAGGGATTCATATTTTATCCGGACACTGCCAAACAAAAATATGTCTTTCTCCACCGAGTTATTTTGGATCTCACTGTCGATGGGAAAATCAAAGAGTGAATTTAATATCGCAACTTACTTCACACTCGAGAAAATTTATTGACATCAATTTTCAAGTCATTATTGTGTTGGTCAGCGCGAAGAAATTCTCTTTGCACAAGCTCGTGATTGGAGAACAAAACTTCACCTTTATCCGTGATATCCTCGACGACCGAAGCCTTCTTCGATAATTTATTCAATTCGTATTGATCTCTTTAATCAAGTTACATTAAACCATTGGAAGAGTTGCTCATTACCGATTCCATTCCAATCTCTTCCTGTCAATCGAATTTCAACACAGTTACTCATCCCAATAGAGGCGTTCGATATCCAAGTAATCGATCGAACTACTTTTGCCAATGTCGACAAGGTTATTCGGATCTGTTTTGCAATGAATTTGATCAATGTTTTTGCTCGACCGATTCCTTCTCCCATTCAGCTGCGATTTGTTCGCTCGAAAAGAATCCGTCTAAAAATGGAAGATTCTGTGCTCCTCAACATGACCCTATTGATCTCCAAGGCTATTCATGTTATTGTAAAGAATATATTTTGGATGAAACTGTCAATATTACAGTTGTCGCGTTAGATTTCGTTTCGATCAAATAATTCTAGCCGGCTCTTCAGCTGTCTTTGTTCATTTTGCCACAATGTTCGAAGAAAATACCCATCAATGAAAATAATACTTCAACCTCTGTCGCCAAACGAATTAATGTGATCTTCATTGAATTAGTCGATCTAACTTCTTACTTAGGAGTTATTCACTAAAACTTCGTTCCATTGGAAAACACTCACGGTGAAATTACATCGAGATAGCATTGTGCTGATGTAATTATTTAAATTCTATATTGCTTCGATAGGAGTCAATTTATCATCCTAATCTTTATCCATTGAAATGTTGACACCAGGATTATTTGATGTGCTCCTATAATGAAACATTAATGTGTACTTGTGATGTCGATCGCTGTGCTTTTATGGGAGCAAATGTCAGTTGTCAACAAAAGGAAATCTTTCTTTTTCCTCTCAGCCATTGATTACGAAAATTTTCACAGGAATTACCGTTACTATCTTCATTATAGGTCTGATTGATGTTGTCTGGACGATGTTAATATTTAAGATGGAAAATCTCTGATAAGCCGGTTGTGAATATTCTCTGTTAACATCATCAATTGTTTCGTTCGTTATGATTATTAATGCTGGTAATCAAGTTCTCTATATTTAATTCGTTCTCAAATGAAAACAATCGACAATGAGTTGCATTTACTAGTTGCCTGTAAATCAATTCATATGATTTTGAAATCCTTATTAACATCAACTGAATGCATTACTGCTTGTGTTGTAATCGAAAGAGCTGTGAACATATTGGACGAGCCAGATTCCAATAAAATGGAAAGCAAAAAAGTGGCGAAACGAATTATGCCGATTATCATTGGTTTAGTCTTACTTTCTCATGTAAACGATCCGTATTATCGAAAATCGATCGAAGATTTCAATGGAGATGATCGACGAATTTGGTGCTTAATTAGATATCCATCACTAGTTGATACTTATGATTATTTTATTAACCTGATGCATCTTGTTGGGCCACTGATTATTACTATCATGTTTACACTAATGATTGTTATTCTACTTAGTCGCATTCGATCGAGGGTGTGAAGATGTTGATTGGTGTTTCAAAAAGAATATCTTCACGGAAAAATATCAATTTTGTCTCGTATGTATTAGAACGGTAGACAATCGTGGCGTTAAACGCCTCTTCATAATTTCCTACATAAATACGTATATTCGTAACACGACAAAAAATTTTACTGTTTCGCTTGCAGCACTATACGGTCGTCTGCAGAATAGGTAGAACGTTCGTTCGTCGCCTTACGATTCATTGCACGTGTTCGAATATTCAGGTAAACATCAAAATATATACATGACTGTAATGAATCGCAAAACATCGCTATATTTGATTTTTTTTCAGTTAGATTTTTATTTCTTCGATGTCATCAACAACAAAGCCCAAGCTTTCCGCCGAGATAAAACCATCTTGAACTCTTCAAGAAGTATTTAATATTCAAAGCAAATGCGCCGATATGGAAGTGGTGGCACCTATTCACTCTTATCACTCTCCCACCAGTCATTCTAAAGACAGTCACTGGTGTGCTGCAAATCTTTACAAGAAAAAAGCCAATCATGCACCATTTGGTATGTCTTCTACAGTTTATTCAGTTATTCTCAAGGTTATATATTAATTTCGCACGCGCCATACCATTAGAAAAGAAATTAGCCGAAATCAGTTCGAGGGAAAATATTCTCGAGTTGAATTCTTATCACTCGATCCTGCTCGTCTTGATTCTCATCGCATGGTTCATACCAATCGTTCAATACAAACAAATGCAAGAGGTGGAACCGATCGAGAACGAAAAGAAAGAACAATAGATATTTTACGAAATAGTTTTTCCTTGATCTTTCTTAATAAAAGGTAGTTGCGGGCACTAATATGAACAGAGACTTGATTTCGTCGAGAAAGCTCACCCGGTGATGCCTTTCTAAAATCAATATCTACATCATAAATCGTTATTAATGAAATGCACTGTTCTCTAAGTCACTTAAAGGCAAATCGAACGATAGTAAATGATCGCCTGTTGTCGATGTTTAAAAGTTATTGTAAATAAGATCTCATTAACCAAAAAACACTCCAGTGGGTCGAACAGTTGTCATTGGAAAAGTGGAAGTCGATGGAATAGCGATTGCTAAAAGAACAAAAGCTTGTCCTTCTGAATGTCATACGAAATGTTTAACTTACGTGTGTAACTAATGACAACGGTAAATGTAATATAGAAAGGGCCTCTGATAATTCCGAACCAATCAATAATCCATAGTTGAACAGTAAAAGTGAATTTTCTGATTGTTTGACGAAATCCTGCATTGCCACATCTGGGACAGATTTTGATATTGAAATAGAACGAACAATATACTCGAACTGCACCGCGACGGTTTCTGTCAAGAAGTCTGCAATAAAAACCATTTCTGAAATCGGATTCATTCTCTGTCTCATCCATACTTACAATCCTCGTCGTCTACGTTTTTTATCTCCACCTGAAACTATACCACTGATCATGTTAACTGCTCCGCTGTGTACCTTCAAAGCTTTATCGAGCTACGCAAATAAAAATTAAACGGATTTATCGTGTTAAAAGTCGCTTATACTTCATTATTGATATTTTTCAACGATTGCGCATCTAATGTGCCTTCAGGTAATGATACATCTGGAGTCATCGTTGCGTAATATGTAGACGAACGTCCAACTGCAATCAAACAACATTGTAATTTCGTATGTTGATCTTATCCTTCATCTTACCTGCAGCAACATCTTTCGTCGAGAGATAAATCGGAATTAATGCAAGAACAATTGTTCCTGCGATGAGGAAAAACACAAAAAATAGGGCGCATATAGCCAGAATTGGTGCATTCGCCTTGAAGACGGTTCTAGAGACGAAAGCGAATGACTCAAGGATAATGTCATTTATTTTTAGTTACCGGGCAGTTGGTGATTGTGCAGAATACATTTTTTGCTTTGCAATGAAAATCGAATGAAAGCGTGAGTTTATATATTCATTCAATTCACCGAGTGATTTAGTGAGTCAAATGCATGATTTCTCTTTGCTTCACAAAGAGAAAAAAACTTGAAGAAAGCAAGGCGATTGGTTTGCCATTTCTCATCCATCATTGATGAGACGCGACCAGTTTATCGAGTGAAAAAAAACTTCCGAAAAAATTTCCGACTATGACAAATTGATATCGCATATCAGTTTGTATGGGTAAAATGTCTCTCCCGATCAAATTAAGCACACTGAGTTTTTGTATCACATTGAAGAGTGAAAAAAAAAGAGATATTTCTTTCTTCATCGTGTTGAAGGGATGAATAACACGTCAATATCAGGTAATTTTCCTCTCGGACGTTTCTTAGTTAGATACGCAGCTGCACAAAACGTGTAAAAAGACGTGATTTCTAGTTATCGACAACTGGATATCACGCTCTTGAACTCGAATTCATATAGGAATTTGAAAAGCAAATATTAGGGCCTATATTCCGACTAGATACGCTTGTGTGATATCAAGTATAGTGCAACCATGCTCCAACTGATGATATGTTCCGAACTATTCTTCATTTTTTATACCATAGGGTAACGACAGTGCATCGCAGTGAATCAACGGCAAGTCATCATATATTCCTTATTTTCAGTTGCCGCTTTTCTAGTCTCGCTTTTCAACTTCACATCAGACAACAGATGAATAAATCTCATCTACCATGAATGCCGAACAAAGTTCAACTGAAAAAAATCGTCAACGTCTCCGACCTCAGTCATTGTAACTATAAAACTTGAAAAGAATAAATGCCAGTCGATGGTTATTACGATGGAAGAGGTTTGAAGGTATTTGAGCAGCGTCGGTATTTGCAACGTAACCACCTATCCATGGCACAATTTCGAACGAAATTATACGATGATCAAGCATAATAGGATTCACTGATGGAGTTATATTAGCACTTTGCCATTTTATCATTACTGAAGAAACTGTCTGTAAAAAGCAAAAAGCAAGAGTTAACAGAACTTTGATGCCTTTTTACCTAGGTCGAGGATTGGTTGTGTGGATATTATTTTTGATAGCAGCACCAAGTATGACTCGTGTGACTTCTACAAGATGACTCCAATCATTTTGTGATGTGATACCACTGCTAGTTGGACACACATCCGTTTCTAAACTGTCACGGATGGTCCAATTATTTGTCCGATGCAAAAATCAAAGAACAATAGGAATCATTCCTTCGTCATTCGTTCTGATCAGATGTGTTTCACGATCTCGCGGAAACAATCATTTTGATGTCATTGATATCCGATGTCATAGCAGCTTTACAAGATGAGAAATCAGTACAGAGATCACCTAGGTGAGTTGGTTGATCGAAATCAGCTGATTCACATTGAACTTCTGCTAAACAATTTTCTTGACAACAAAGAACAAAAAATTCGCATGCCTTGTGTACTTATTAGTTTGAAGATCGTGAACATGAGAAACAACCAGGATTCTTTTATAACCATATTCTTTGTAAGTTGGAAATAGTTTATAAAGAAAAGCCTCGTTTTTGTTCAGCTACACAGTTCAATCGATTATAATAATTGTCTTTCTTGACCTTTGCACCGTCCTATACATGCACTTGAAACGCTTTTCATTTGCATTGAATTGCGATGTAATCGACGAGGAGTATAGGAATAACACAAAGTACTCTTTCTTACCAGATCAAAGTCAGTCGCTTCAGAACGACAGAAAGAGACAGAAGTACAACGTCATTTCTGAGAGTCAGCTTTCCGAATGTTACAACCATCATTGCTCACACGCAGTTAAACGAATTTGATCTGTTACGATGATTATGCATTGCAATGTTGTCTGTTTCTGCTTCGTAGAATGTCCATCGATGAAAGTCTGTTGAATGCGAAAAGATGAAGATTTACTCATTCTAGTTCATTCCATGTCTATCGATAAAATTTTGATAATCGGGAATTTAATTAGATTCCCATGTCTTCAAAATTGCCACGGTTTGGACGGCTGATGGTGAGTTTTCAGTATCAGATTAAGTTGTGACTGAATTAGCAATCTACCTAACTTCATATTTTAAACTCAGACAGAGAGATTAATAGTAATTCTTGCTCTGCAATGAATTTAACAACACATGGCATATGTTGCGAGTGGCACTATAGAAGTTTTGGTTACCTGTCTTACTGGCCGAGTGACTATGATTAACAGAAGAGCACTAATACGTATCGTGTTTGCGTCGTAACTTCATACATATTTCCTGAAATAGCTTATACTATTTGTATTAGAAGTTCATTGCATCTGTTCGATTTCTTCGAACATGTCTCACGCGTCTAATGGTTAATCTAAGAAAGTAGTACGGCAAAGGCAAGAGAGAAGCGGTTAATAGAAGTACTGAAAGCAATGCAGATTCAATGCCAGGTATGAGATGATGAATCAGCAACAATCGTCAACGAATGTTGAACAAAAGATGATTTAGAAGTTTTCGATCTACCCGATGCAAATGATACCACCATAAAGGTAGATGATAAAACGGAATCTCAGTTGAGTGGTAATTTCGCATTTCACTTCAATGATGTACCACTGCTTTGTTCAACGACGACTATGAAAACTCGTGAAGCTGAGAAATAGCCTAATGATACTTTACATCACATCAAATTTCGACAAGCGAAAAATAGTTCCGATGATGCGTTTAATAAAATCCATCCTTGATTGCAAAGTTTTCTTTTAACAGTTGTCTAGCATTAATAACAAATAGGAATAGCCGTCTTTACTGCACTAACTCACATTACACATGAGCTCATATGTAATTATGAAAAAGAGAATTGACAGAATTAGATAATATGAACATACGAGAAAAATTACAATCAATGATTGAACGACATTTTTCTTTGTTATCTGGCGATCAAGAATTGTCTCCTAAAAGTCGATATTTCAAATGGAATTCGTTATCAATCAACAACAAAAAACCATTCTTCATCCAATAACATTGGATATACGTCCATGCTAATGGCACAGCCTTTAGTCGTTCTTATCACCACCGGCACGGAAATATTAATCTAATATCTTGGCATGGGGGTTATGGCTGTCGTGCACTAAACCAGATGTTAATCTATTTCGACAAGATATTATTGAACGGTTCATAGATCGATCTCGAAATGGTACGTCCATATTTGTCAATGCTTGTGAGTTGAAAATCTATCTTAAAACGCAGATGTTCGTATTAGACTTACCAGCAAAATCTCGTTTGATGCAAACCATTCACTTCTATGGTTATGATACATGTAGAAACTACATGATAGAAAGTATTCACTGCACTCACTTTCCTTTTCTGAGCTACTTTTTGTAGTCTACTGAATGATAGGAACGTACGTCCACAGACAAATTCGTTGTCCTTACGCGAATAATAACTATGCGCTAAGAACACAGTAGCAGTTTTGAACGACAGCCTAAGCGATCGAAGGTAAGATAGCAAGTGGTGGTAATCGGCGTTCACCCATTACTACTATCGAAGGTTTATCCTCATTATTAAAAGTAGTGAATTAATGCTGTTGATATCATATAAGACTCTATGCATCTCGTTTGTTTAAATCATTTACCCGCATTCATTAAACGTTTTATTGGCCTTTTATCGAAAAATAACATTGGTAAAATTGATTCCGTTTTGCCAACTATTCGTTTGCCACCAGAAGTGACGGAGCCATAAGGTCTGAGTAGGCGCAATTCGAAAGAAAAGGGCGCTATTGTTGTCATTGCTCTTACACATTGACAAATACTGTACAGTTAAAACAGCAATGCGTATTTGTTTTACTGCGTGCTTCTGTGCCCATGAAGATTTTCATTCCATCTTACTGATAGGGCTGCTATTATTTTACTCTTCATTTCCGCTCCTGGACTATGGAAAGTAGTTCTGAAGCTTAGATTTAAGACTCTACCATTTCACTAATCTGACTTTAAAGAACAGGAAAAAGTGAATGTTTTCATATAGAAGTATTCGTCCAGGCACTCGCTTCCAGTGTGACTGGAGCTCTCTCGTGAAGCAGTTAGATTTAACAAACCTTACAAGAAGAATTGAAACTTGCAAGCATTCTATTTTAGAAATACTTTTGTGCTTTGCTGAGCTTTCCCATTTGGAAGAACATTAGACGAATCTATGTCCTATAAACTGTGAAAACATCATTGATAATAATTATCGAACTTACATATTTAAAGCTATGGTTTTTGTACTTATTGTTTGTTTCTCTCCACTAATATGCGTTGTATAGTAGTGATGATTGGAAAAAGATTGAAGCAGAATTTCGAACTTCTGTTCCAGTAAATCTTAGAGTTAGAAGCTAGCTGTAATTTAAAACAGATCGAAATTCATTACTATCTGGCTTACGATAGCTACAACGAATATTCTGAGATAGAATACCATGGCGGGATGTCCACTTTATTCTTCGATATCGGTCTGAGATATTTACAATTGAAGGTTCCGATGATGACTGGTAGTCACTAGAAAAGTTTTCAGCCTCCGCTATTTCAGTATCATTATTTTCTTCATGAGCAAAATCTGCTCAACACAGTTCAATGTATTAGAGAGAAAGGTAAGACTTTTTTCGAGGATTGTTCTTCTTAATATATTATCAAGTATTAAGAATTTATTTGTGGATTGAGCCTATTCTAGAATGAAATCAGTCCTCCGCCTATGTTTGCCACATGATGGGAATGTCAGGTAGAATTACTCAATACAATCAGTCAATAATTGGAAAGCAAAAGACAACACATTATTTATCTTGAATGAAGGTTTATCGATAGTTTTACAATCTTTCGCCAAGTTATATTCGTCACATGTTGTCATTTCCTGCATGTTCGTGATCATTTTACACTGTCCGAAAGCCTACAGAAGACATACCATTCGCAAATATCATTAAAAGTAGATAGTGCAGAGGTCCAATTCTATTCTTCACATGCTCATTGGATTTGTTAAGACAAGTACTAAGTAAGTGAAGGTTTTCTCTCCTCCCTGAAGTTCGTACTTAAACAGGCTTTTTATAACGTTTGCTTCCTTCCTTCTAGATCATAGTAGCTTAGCTTCTAAATCGTCGTTTTGTTCTGAAGCAGCAATTCGGTGTATCAAAAAGAAATCACATTAAACAAATAATCTTGCATCATAGATTGGTTCTGGCTGCCACATGGATGCCATCATACCTTTAAAAGAATTCCAGCTAATATCACTATCACCAGTGAATGAAATGCAATCAAATAGTATTCTATTGACAGTCTATAGACATATATAGGTAAATCAACTGTATGATATACGAGAACATATTAGAAGAATAAGACAGCATTCACGTTCTAAAGATAAATTCTTGACATATCAATCATTATTATCTATTTTATAATATCTGCTATTCATTAATACAACATTATCAAGCAGTCGATATCAAAAATAGTGATTTCCATTATATTCTATTTGTCTTTTGCTAGACACAAACGTTGTTATTGCTGTTAGTGACACACTTAATAAACGTGCATCGATACCTTTTGAAAAAATCCACAGTATTAGCGAACGGCGCCTAAACGATGAATACGATTAGATCTAGCTCGTACTTCCTTCCTGCATATTTTTCTACACTTATCACCTCATAGAACTAACACTCGCTGATGCGAACTACCAGCTTCCCTTTCATCTTCCTTTTCCCATCACGATTCTATCGTTTCAGTTGTCGTCAGTTGTCGAGAAAACGCACACAACTTCTACTTTAATCCTTATCATCCCTTCCATATTCGTTCCATATGTATCCGAAAATTATTACTACTCAGTACATTTCTTCTACATGCCCCGCACACCAAGAAAAAACAACTCACACATGCATCTTTTACCAATACGATCGAACAAAATACAGTATCATTCTTTTCCAACGACGACCCAAAATAAATCATCCCGGTAATGGTCTTAAACATACCTTGAGAAGTGCACCACCATCTATACAGAACAACCAGTTCGACCTTAACATCGTAGATAACAGGAACTCTGACTTGCTTATGCCATCTAAATTTGTTATCAATGCCACCCAGGAACTCGACCTACATTATTCATTACTACCGAGCCCGCTGTAATCTACAGTCTACCGCAGATCTTTCCGAACTCTCCTCAACACCGGACAAAAAAAGAGCATCAAACAAAATGACCAGTTTCAACAAATACATTACCACGCAACTCGCAGTCAGGAACGAAGTTAAACCAGACAATAGGCAAGCCAAAAAATCGCTTCGATGCCTTAACTATACGATTTCACGCTGTTAACTATGTCTCCTTACTTCTTAACTCGTCTCCGATACAGCTCCCCAATTAAGTCAAAATTTCAGTAAATCGACCTTTTTCACTATAGGAACTGCCGATAGAACTTTTCTTTTGATTCTACGCAATAGAGCACAGTTGCAAGAGTCTAGAATTTGTCGGCTTTTAAGAATCTCGGCTTTCTTTTTGAGTTATGGCCGAAACAGCTCCCCAATTCAGTCGAAATTTCAGTAAATCCACTTTTTTCACTATAGGCACTGCCGATAGAATTTTTCTTTTGATTCCAGTCGATTCAGTACAGTTGCAAGAGTCTAGAATTTGTCGGCTTTTAAGAATCTCGACTTTCTTTTTGAGTTATGGTCGAAACAGCTCCCCGATTAAGTCAAAATTTCAGTAAATCCACTTTTTTCACTATAGGCACTGCCGATAGAATTTTTCTTTTGATTCTAAGCAATAGAGCACAGTTGCAAGAGTCTAGAATTTGTCGGCTTTTAAGAATCTCGACTTTCTTTTGGAGTTATGGCCGAAGCGAATCCTGAAATGGGTGAATATCTCGTGCGAAACTGGATTGTTTACGGTGGTCTCACACATTCATGCTGTATGCCTTGATGAATAACAAGTCAAGCTTTTTATGTCAGTTGGAGGTGGCGGATTAAAATGTTAAGTGGACATGGAGTTATGGCACGTCCATAATGTTAATGTCGGAGTTTTCAATACTGATTGCTCAGGCTGGGAAAGAAGGTCGTATCTCGTGGAAGAATTCATCATAAGTAGGTGACGAAGGAAATTGGTAGAGTAAAGTTTATGTTGTTCTCTCGCTGCTAGTTGATCAGGAAGGTAAGGAGATGGTAATGAAATGAGAGTATGTTGTTCGTGAATGGAAGTATAGTGTTAAGAAATCAGATCTGAGCAATATCTATCGTGCTTAGATAGTTGTCCAATTCTTTGATGGAATCCTTGAAATTTAACTAAGATCTGATCGAATCTTTTAATTAGAATTTCAGTAGGAAACAGTGATTTTCTTTGTTACAAAAGTTGATGGATGAAATCAATCGGCTTTGAGCGTAGATAATGATGATGATAATGTAGTTAAAGGAGGAGAATTTTGACACAATCGAATCAAGCAACGGTTGCGATATCATTCCGTCTTTTTCGTTGTGAAATATTGTTTGAAGATTGTCGGACCATGACTCTTGTGTTTGGAGTTACTAGATAGAAAATTTTTTTATTTGGTTCGATCAGAAGGAAATATAATGACATTGTCATTGAGAGTTATTTCTCTCTGTCTTATAGGATGTTATTCACTAAGTCGTATCTGCAATTTGTTATATGACATATGTACTTGTTAGAGTGTGTTTGAGGAAAAGAGAGAAGATGTTTTGTACGTGTGCATGGACGACCTCTTCTATTGGACCAGAAAAAGAAGAATTTAAAATATGTACCGATATGACATCAAACAGGGAAACGAAAGAATTGAAAGAAAATAATGGATCGTATGCTATCCATCCTTATAATAGTTATCTTAACGAACAAAAAAGAATATCTGCTCATTTGTATCATTGATGTTCTGCAAGTATACATTCAATTCTATTGAACAGTCTTATAACCTTTGTCAAATACGCATCATCAACGCTCGCGCCTATTTATATCCAGTGATCCGATAGGTAATGGCTGCAGCATCTAATTCTCTTAGCACAGATGCCACAAAATTGCCATTTTCTCTATCACCCTATCGTACATGGTATGGAGCTTGATTACACAATCACATCTTCGTGCACAAGGATCAAATGAAATATTTTTATTTCTCTTCACACAACGAATATGACCAATAGAAACAAAGTGGATCTCAGGTATAGGTAAGTTCGGTTTCTCAACCATGAAACAAGATCGATACATACAGCCATCTGCAATAACAACTCTACTTAATTAGTCGTCGAAGTAATCTGTTGAATTCCCACTTGGTTCTGTTGCAATTGACCAAATGCTTTTCTCCATCGTTTTAGATGTACTTCGAATAGAACGTAAAGTAATTGCTTTCGAAAACGTTTTGATACACAACAATAAATGTAAAATGAACACTAAAAAGAAAATTTTTATCTTCAGAATTTGCGAAAACAAATTTCTCACTGCGTAACTTTCATAATAGAAGAAAGACAGCAATCCATAAATGAGACGGCCTCTTGCTGTAGATTCCGTATCCGTATATGGCGGATTCAATGCATAGATGCTGTACAGTATACATGGCAGACTGAGTACAATTATAAACACAACATAAACAAGTACCATCGAAGTTATTTGACGTTCATGACTCAACCGCGTAGTATTGATTTGTGCTTTAGATATTCTTCGCACACTAATGTACGATAGAATTGCAAAGATTAACATAATAGCAACAGGTAAACATCCAAGTAGTACGGGCCAAATGAAATAATTAGCATAGGTACTAAATGTAGTGCTTGAATTTCGACATGAGCCAGATACCA